CTCCGTGACTGTGACTCGCAGGTCAGCTCTGTGTCTGTGACTTGCAGGTCAGCTCCGTGAATGTGACACCCAGGTCAGCTCTGTGTCTGTGACACGCAGGTCAGCTCTGTGTCTGTGACGTGCAGGTCAGCTCTGTGTCTGTGACTCACAGGTCAGCTCTGTGTGACTGTGACACAGAAGTCAGCTACATGTCTGTGACTCGCAGGTCAACTTTGTGTCTGTGACTTGCAGGTCAGCTCCGTGAATGTGACACCCAGGTCAGCTCTGTGTCTGTGACACCCAGGTCAGCTCCGTGTCTGTGATTCGCAGGTCAGCTCTGTGTCTATGACTCGCAGGTCAGCTCCGTGACTGTGACACGCAGGTGAGCCCCGTGCAATTGTGACAAATGCCTGGGAGATGCAACTATGAAAAAGAGCTTGGTTTTGCCTCAAGGTTCAGAAGTTCCTGGCCCTGTTGGCTTTAGGCGCATGGTGGGAAATCACATCACCGCTGAAGTACATGGCAACCTCACGTCTGAGAACTCAGGGATGAAAGTTGGGGTGCAGGTGCCCTTTAAGGGGTCGGGCCTGGGAGCACGGTCCAGACCCAAACTGTGTGCAAGGGCTGCACACATCTGTGTCAGCAGTGCGGACATGCATCTCCCTCAGCCTGTGAGTGCCACGTGGCCATGGGATGACCGTGTGGCCCCATTTCGGAGAGGGGAGGACGGAACTGCACGCTGGTCGTGAGAAGGGCAGAGGCCCCTCATTTCTGAGGGCGTTCCTCTGCCTCAGGAACTGGAAACAGAAGAGGGAGCAACCTGAAGGCACAAGCTTTGTGGGTGCTGTTTCCACGTCTCCTGCTGCCCTATGTGGAGACGCCAGCCACTCGCCTCCATCTTGGGTCTCGCTGACACCGCCAAGCCATCACCACCACTTCCCAGCTGACGAGTTATTTCTCACCCTTGTGTTTTACAAGTATGGAGACAAAACTATTGTCTAGGGTATTATTACACTTTCTAACTACTGATAGAGTTATGACATTTGGTGGCGCATTGGCAACCAGACATACACAACAGGCAGCCACTTTTTATTTATCATCTCCGGGCTTTGCAGTTACCATAGCAATAAAATCCATGCTTAACAGGATGATTACCATTTTCAACAACTAATGGAATGATTATTTGTGTTTGTGGTTTCAAGCCTTAGAATAAAATGTAATCCCATCCAACATACTCAAAGTTTTAATGTCCTTAAACATTCCCGTCAAAGACGTAACCAGTGTGTTCCTCTGAACCTGGTGGGCGGCTCCTCTCCTGGCTGCGGGGTGCTTTGTTCCTGTCACCCTGAGACCCGGTGGCAGTCACTGCAGGGCAGCGTTCAGGACGCCTGTGCTGTCCGAGGGTGTGGCCCTGAGCCCCGGGGCATTCGTTCCCGTTCGTGGGTCTGGGTCGGTGGCCTCAGCCAGCTGCCTGGCTTCGTGAAGTTCCTGTGTCCTCCACGCACAGTGGTGGGAGCCCCTGGCTGTCTGGGGTGAGGTGGGAAGCCCCGTCTTGGCGGTCTGAGTGCAGGGAGCCATGGCTGGGGCTGTCAGAGGGTTCGCCTGCGAGGAGCTGCGTGGGTTCCAGGCTGGAGAGGACCCCACGCTGGCAAGGTGACTGCGGGGAGGTGGGGCTCTGGGGAGGGGGCGGCAGGCGCAGGTGGGACAGACTCCGTGGAGAGCAGCAGCAGGGTCCCTGGCCCGCGAGACCAGGCGACTCCGGGCTGAGCCAGCTCAGTGCCTTCCATCTCCGTGTGAGGAGCCCACGAATAACCACACCGGGGCCTGAGAGCCTGCGGGCTGTCTTCGGAGGGAAGAAATCATCAGCATATGAACTAATTATATGAATTAAAATAAATTAGTTAAAAGGCGTCATGAGATCAGTGCGTTGTTGTCTAATTACCCATGACCGCTGCTGGTACTAATAACGGCTCTGCTGCCTGACAGGTGGCAGTGCTGTCGGCAGAGGAGCAGCAGAGGGGCGGCCACGGTGACAGCGTCGTGCGGGACAGCGGCCATGGCTCCTGCAGGCCTGCCCGGGGCTGCTGGGGTCAAGGCTGAAGGTGGCCAAGGGCTGCCGTCTCCCTGAGTGACCTCTCTGCTGCTCCAGGGAGGGACGGGGGTGCGGACTGAGCTCGGAGGGCTCAGTGGCCTGAGATGGGGCAGAGCTGGCTCGGGAGTCTGGGTGCCCAGAGCAGAGGCCGGGTTGCAGGGTAGAAAGTGGGTCCCTGGTTACTGCTCGGCCTGTGCCCTCCACCATCCCCGAGTGACTCTGGACGGGTCGTGGCCCTGAAGCTGCCCTCAGGCCCGCCGCAGCCTGTGCCCCGCCCTCTCCCGCCCGAAGGCTCCTCTCCTGCTCCATGTCCCATGCCCTGCCATTGCCTAGGGAAGGGCCAGTGCCCATTCCTGTGAAAAGCCCGGCCCTGTGCCCTGGCCTTCCCCGCGCTGTGCCAGCAGGCCTGTCTGTCTCATCTCCACCGACAGCACCCTGTGCACGCTGGGGGTGGCGCCGGCAGGGCAGGGAGGCTCCTGTGTCCTATAGGACAGGCCCGGGGAGGCCCGGGGTCAGGCGTCCCTGGCTCCGCCTCACATCTCACACGACCCTGAGGGTCCACTGTCGCTGGTTCTCATGGCTGCTTCAGGGCACAGCCCACCTCCTCCCAGGGTGGTGGCCCTGTCACCGCCAGCTGTGTCACCTGAAGGCCACGAGGGGCTGTGGGCCAGACCCTGGGGGACCCAGGTCGTCACAAGAGGCTCTGGCAGCTCTGTCCACATGTTCAGGTGGGACACTGAGCTCTTCTTGGAGGGCCAGGCCTGTGTCACCTGCTGTCCCTGCTGCCCCTCCTCTGGGTGCCCCGGGCAGCGTGTGGCCCTGTGCTGTCCTCTGAGGCTCTCCACGCTCACAGGAGGCCCTAGGCCTGCTTCCCGGCGCCTCCCGCCAGGCAGGCCGCAGCAGTCTCAGCCCTCCAGACGTGGTGCCCTCAGCCCTAGGTTTGGAGGTGGCTGGTCTGGGCTCGGCGCTTGCTGTTTTCTGGGTTTCAGGCCTAGGGGAGCTGCAGTCTCTGTCACTGCTGTCCTCTGGGCCGGTCTGATGGGGCCTTCGCCCACAGCTCGGCCTTGGTGCTTAGTCCTGGGCACCTGCAGGAGGCTGAGCCACGGCGTGGGTGCCTGCAGTGCTGTAGTGTGAGCTGCCAGGGTTGCTACATGGACCCGGCGTGTGTGCCTGAGCCCGAAGGGCACTGTGTAGACACTTCATTTGGCCCAGGGCAGACAGACACAGAGAGGAGCAGCCAGGACAAAGATCTGTTCCCTCCTCTGGGAGGATAGGACCCCAGGACCCTGCACCAGGCTCAGAGCGCCTTCCAAGGGCAGGAAGGGAGCAGCTGCTCATGGTTCATGGCCTGTCAGGAACTGTCCCCGGGGCCACTGGCCGTCGGGAGGTCAGTGAGAGCGGGGCAGGACCCCAGGCTGGGACAGGAAACAACAGTCGTGTGTGGGGAAGCCACCCTCCCGGTAGGACTGCAGCAGCAGATGTGACGCCCCCAGCAGGCACCGAGCTGTGAAGGGACTGGAGGAGCAGAGCAGGGCGTAGAGGGCACGGAGTCACTGCATCAGGAACCGTGGTGTGCGAGGGAAGGACACAGGTCTGCAGGCCCCGGGCCCTGAACACACTCTGCGCCTGCCCATGGACTGGTGCTGTGCTCTGCAGAAGAGATTCTGACTTTGGCCTTCCAGCCCCGGAGTCACGGAGTGGGAGGACAGACCTGGGTGCCCTGGGATAAACTCAGGAGGCAGGGGCAGTGCGGCCCACTGGTTATGGCCTCTGCTGCCCAGGGTCCAGTCCTGACCCATCTGAAATGTGCGTAGGACATCAGCTTCCAGGAAGATGGAATGAACATGGGTTCCCCGCTGAGGACTAAAGAAAGCCTGGACATTAGCTACAAGATGGACGCAGACTCTGAAGGTAAGGACAGCAAGGCTCTGTCCAGGACCAGCCTGTTCGGGTTCCCTGGGAAATTGCAGCCTGGCGCCCTCACGCCGGGACCGTGCACCAGAAGGATTCGGAGCATGCCCTCTCAGGCCCACCCTGAAGGACCGGGCCTCTCTCCAAGCCGGGGCCCCTCTGGGCCGTGCCCTCCGTGTCCTGTTGGAACTGGGCCGCAGGGCAGGAGATGGGTGTGGTGGGTGCAGCTTCCTCTGTTTCTGGCCGCCCCCTTTGCTCTCCAGCATAAGAAACCATGTGCTGTTTAAGCTTGTGTGCCTGATTTACTTCACTGAACAGTGTAGCCTCGAAGTCCCTTCATTTTCCTCCAAATGACTCAAGTTTATCCTTCTTTATGGCAGAGTAGTACTCCACTGTGTGTAAATACCACATTGTCCTTATCCATTCTGGTAGGGACCAAGCCACAGGTTCTCTTGCTCCCCTGGGACTCTGGTCTCACCCTTGGCCGTGGCTCCAGTTGTCCAAGGGCTCCCTTGGTCCTCTCAGCGCAGGCAGCAGGCAGGCAGGGAGATGAGTCCACGATGCTGCCTGCCACAGGGCAGATCAGCCATGGTTGGGCATGGCTTAGCCACAGGCCGGGTGGGGACCCAGACGCCTCCTGGGCCTCAGCTCCTCATTACCAGCAGCAGCCCAGGACCATGCAGAGGGAGGAGCCTTGCTCCTCTGGCTCCCAGGGCTGGGCCATCTCAGGAGTTCGAGCCCCTCGAGGGAAGCCGATGCCATGGTGATGCTGCAGGCTGGCTCGGGCTCGCTCGGGGTCTGTGTCCAGCCGTGGCTCTCCTGTCTCTGCCCTGGAGACCGGGACGGCTTTGTCACTGATGATGAGAGAACAGCTCTGCACGGGGAGGGGTGCGGTGGCCCTGGTGAGACCCCCACGGCCCCTCTCAGAACGCGTCCAGGAGCCCAGTTCAGGAGGAAGCGCTTTCCTGGTGATGCCTGTGGCGACAGGAAGTGGGTCTGGGGCCCTCCCTCCTGTGCGACCCCCAACGGCTGCTGACCCTCGCACTGGCTGGCTGCCGCTCCAGCCCTCCAGATGCGGCATAAGCGTCCGCCTGTTAGTTTCCGCCGTGAGACTCCAGCACTGACTGAACCGCAGACGAGGACTGGGTGCTGGAGCGAGCCATCCCCACACAGGGCCATCCTTGGGGGGTGCCACCCCTTTCACAGGCAGGCAGGGAAACTGAGGCCCAGGAGGCTGCCATGCGAGGGCAGGCCCAGTGTGTCAGGTTGGGGCTGGAAGCCTCCTTCCCAAGGCGGCCCGAGCTCTGCTGACCTCAGGTCCTCTGTCCTACCCGGTGGCCTTTCCTCCCAGGGCACTTCCTGCCCTTCAGGCCTTGCCTAGTCACAGAGCCTCCCAGAAGCTGTGGCCATGGCCTTGCAGGGCAATGGTGGAGGAGGACAGTGAGGACGGTCAGCATGGTGCAGGTCTCCTCCCGTGCCGATCCCGATGTCCCCAGACTCAGCAGCATCTGCTGCACCCCACGGAGGACCAGGACTGAGGCAGAGGTGGTGGAGTTGGCCAGGGAGGACGGCACTGCTGGCGTCAGAGCCCGTGGCCTTGGCCTGTGCCATGTCCTCCCTGCACAGGGCTCCTGTGAGGGTGCAGGCTGCAGGCCGGGGGCTGAGGGCCGGCACAGGGGTCTGCCCCTGAGCAGGGTTCCCTGTGGGGAAGCTTGCTCTCCAGGATGCCAGGCCTTGTGTGTTTGCCTCAGCTGTGGTGGGGCCACAGGAGGGAAAGTGTTGGTGAGGGCACTCTGCACCTAGTTCCGGTCCTGCTGGGCCTTGTGTGTGCGGCTGCAGACATCCACCCTGTGGGTCCCCTGCATCCACAGCGCCTGCCGGTCATTGCAGGACAGATCATCTCTGCAGCCCCAAGTTGAGGACTCGGAGGACAAAGGGCCTGCTGGGCCTTGCTTGGGTCCGCGAGGCCTTCCTGGAACTCCGTGGCAGGTCCCCTTGGGGGTGGCGGTGCCACGTCATGAAGGGGCACTTTCTACCAGAGCTGTGCCCAGGCAGATGTTTTGATCTTGCAGCCATAAAGTGGGAGCAGGAAAGAATTTACAGCCAGGCTGTAAAGTAATAACACGGAGAGGCCATTTCGTGGGTTCAGCCGGAGGTGAGCCTGGGTTCAAAAGTTCAGGCCTGCAGCCCCTCCTGGGCAGGATGGCCTTTGGGTGCTGCGGCCAGCCCAG